ACAAAGTGGACTTTATGAGAGTAAGACGGCCTCCCTTCGAAAGGTACATACGCTTCCACCCTGCTAACCTTTTCTCCACCCTTTCCACAATACCGTTCCAAATCTGTGTGCTCTTAAACCGTGCACCTAGAGGGAGCCCGAGATATGACATAGGCAATTGGGCCACCCTACAATCCAAAATCTGAGCCAACTCTTCCACATTGTCGACCTCTCCCACTGTGATAGCCTCAGATTTTCCCAGATTTATTTTCAATCCAGAAACGGCTTCAAAGCATAGGAGTAAACGACGTAGGTTCCTAAATTGCTCAACATCCGCATCACAGAAAATCAGCGTATCATCTGCAAATAACAAATGAGAGACCTGCAACTGCTCGACATCAAAACCCCTTATCAAACTTTGCCCCACAGCCTTCTCAAGCAACCTACTAAAAGCTTCCATAACAATGACAAACAACAATGGGGACTGAGGATCCCCTTGCCTCGGTCCTCTACTACTACGAAAAAAACCCTCCAGAGTGCCATTCACCATGATCGAGAAAGAAACGGTAGAGATACAAAACTAAATCCACTGGCACCACTTCTCCCCAAATCCACATCGCCCGAGCATATACAAAACAAAACTCCAGTTAACGTGGTCATAAGCCTTCTGAATGTCGAACTTACATAACATTCCTGGAACCCTTAGTCGCATTCTTGAATCAATGCATTCATTTGCGATAAGTACGGAATCCAAAATCAGGGACCCTCTGACAAAAACATTCTGAAATTTAGACACCACTTTACCCAACACCTCCTTTAATCTATTCGCCAACGTCTTCGCAATAATCTTGTAAACCCCACTCACCAAATCTGACAAAAACATTCTGAAATTTAGACACCACTTTACCCAACACCTCCTTTAATCTAATCGCCAAAATCTTCGCAATAATCTTGTACACCCCACTCACTAAGCTAATGGGACGAAAATCCTTAATACCTGTCGCTCCCGATTTCCAAGTGAATATTCCCCTTTCTTTGAAGTTTGTTCCCCAGGTGGAACAATATTCTGAAGTTGTATAGCGATCAATATGAAAGGGGAGACCTCAAGTATTCCAATTGAACTGGCTTAGCCATGCTCTAATCCCAGCCCCAACTTGGATCTACTGTGGAAAAAACCCATTGCCGATTTAACATTCCAGATGAGGGATACTTGCGTAAGAATTTCTCATATTCAGAGTGAGATTCTGACCCAAATATTGTGCATCCCACGTCCTGAGAGAGATCTGTCACACTCCTGGACATTTGTTTTGCTTGTAAATTCTAACAAGGATAGCACAAAACGCCACAGGGAATTTGACTCCATAACACAAGGAGTTTGAGTGGAAAATAAATTAGATAGTATTTGGAAGATTTTGGGTCAAATGTCGAGCATTTCACACCTCGGAGAGAAGCTCTGTCGCACTCATAACTCATTGTTAAGTTTCTTTGCACAAAATTCGACGGTTTTAAATCCTAATTAGGAGATAACAGGAAGAACGCCATTAAGAATGTTAAACTCCAGCAGCATACTGCTAAGACATAATAATATATTTGTGTTTGCAGCTAGTGGTCCTAGTGTTGCTATAGTAAAAAATTCAGCAGTTACCATAACTTCTGATTCTTCAAATAGAACACCTGGAACTTGGTGTCTTTGGTTTTATTTGGTAATTGCAACAATATTGCATCAAAAGATGGAAACTGGAAAAGGTATTTTTTTCATTGCAAAGGAGGGTGTTAATTCACCTCGGCTTGGCCATTTAATGGTAATGGTGCAAGAGGACCCATAAAATAAAGAACTCAATCAAAAAGATGAATCAAAAGGATAGCGCGTACCAAAAGGAGAATTTAAATTATAATATCAAGAATTCAAGTGGTATTTACCTGAGGTAACTCAAAATATTGTAAGGAAGACCTGCTTTCTCGTATTCGTTCCAGATCAGAAAGGAAGTCTTGGTATCCTTGGCATTGACACAGGCAGCGAGGAGAAAATCCAGACTTTTTCTTGAAGGGCAAACACCAAGTTCTGTCTTGATAGCTTTTAGCAAACTCAGACCAAATTGCATATCGGTTGCCTCTTTCTCCGCAATTAAGCTAAATACCTACTTCAAATGCTTAAAACACATCAGAAGATGACATGCAATCAAGTTGCAAGAACATCCACAAAATTATTCTTAGTCTAGAATTTCCAGCAATAAACAGAAAAGGAAGATCTGGAGTTTCATAAACTAGAGCATATGAACTATTTGATTTCTCACTGAATGAGAGAGTAAGGAAAAAGTCAAAACCTCATCAAACAGAGCTTCTGTGGCAAGTTCAGCATTGTCAAAACTATTCTTGAGTTGCTTGAGCAAATCGACAATAGATCTAAAGCAAAGGAAGGACAAATATAAACAAGTAGATTTATTAAAAGTAAATTTTACAAAAGAAGTAATAAAGTGTTGAGAACCTTAAATGCTCGTGTTGAACACAGTATGAAATGACCTTGAAGCAGGTACCAACCAAGTAAGGTGAATCATTTAATTCCTCAAGTAGCTGGAGCAGCCTATCCAACTCTCCTTTGGATTTAAGATGTTCCTGAGAGATAATTAAGATCGTCAAAACATAACAGGTCGAGAAAAATAAGAATTGTTTCCACACACAATGCTCCAAACTAACTTACAACAAGACATCCGATTGCTTTCGGCTGCAGGTTGGATCCGGCTTCTTTGATTCCTTCATACATTTCAAAGGCATCAGATAATTGCCCATGTGAAGCAAGGGCCGAGACAAGCGTACTCTTGATTTCATTTAAGCTCTTCACTGGTATTCTCTCATCTAACAGAACCTGCACATAATGACGTTGTCAATATAGCAGCAGAGATACTGCTGTTACCTTGGCAGCGTTCCCTGGCTTTCACCTACGAACTAGATCCATAATTTTTCATTGCAGAAGGGGAAGTCGGAGATAATATCGCAGGGATCTTTTGATTTAGAAAAAAGTAACTGAAGCAGCACCAATGCGACTCCAATTTTACCTGTTTAGCCTTTTCAAACTGTCCACAGGCTGCATAGGCATTTATAAGGGCCATAAAAACAAACTTCGTGGGTTGAACTCCAGATTTGCCCATTTCATTTTGAAACTACAAGCAGAACACAAACTAACAACAGTTAGTATGGATGTCAAAAAGCTGACCATGGATTTGTAGATTATGCCAACTGCAGCAAAATTGATTGTCCTGTAGTCCAATCATGACCACAAAAGTACGCAACAAGCATTTTTATCATCTTATCTGACCTAATCTCCCCTCAAGGAGAAAAATTGAGATGAAGCAGAATAAAATCTTGACAAACTATTGTATGGATAAAGTGTGTTGTAGTCTTATCACCAAGGTTTTCGACCAGTATCTGCATATTTTACAGAAGTGCTTAATTTTAATTGATTCATCCATATCAAGAGGCATAGCATGGATATCAAATTCAAATGACCTTCAGATTGCCTCTGACATAGCTCATGACCCTCGCAATTTTTTGTAGTTTCCAAGACATAATTATTTTGGCCAAACATAATTCTAAAAGAACCTTGATTATATCATCCTCGGAGTTACTGGTGCTTATAAGATAGCTGAAAGTTGCAGAGTCTGGTTTTACATCTGCCTCTTCCATTTGTTTGAGAACATGTCGTCCACTGCAAGTGTTCTTCTGCAGAATTCAGCCACACAGCAGGTCAAAAAAAATATGCATAAAACATTATGCAAAATAAATCACCTCAAGTGAATTCCAAGTAGTCTACTACATAGCATCCTCATAATCATTAACAAGTAAAAAGGTGTGAATTGGCTCTGCAAAAAATGTTACAAGAGCAGAATCATTGTTGTGAGTATGATTTCAATAAACTATTGCTTAAAAAATGGACACCATTCAGCATAAATATCAAGTTTTACAGGATATGAAAATATTTAGTCAAGGGCAACAATTAATTTCAGAGGAAATGAGTGGAAGGATTTCAGACAGCGTTCATGTGAGTTGCTACTTTTCCTCACTAGAGACTTCTGATTCTGGAGTAGTTTTGCACGTATCAGTGAATATAAAATAAAATTTTCCATCGTGTAATGATTTAGATCAAACATTCTTTTGCAAGTCTGAGTGAATAAAAAATGATTCTTTAATTTATTTTTTCATCTATGATAAAAAAAAAAAATTATCTTTCATTTGAACCAGTATGTCACCTAGGAGTCTCAGTACTATCGATGGTCTAGCTCCGGTGGAAGTAACAGAAATAGCAACCACCTAGACAAATCAGTCACAGATTAGCATAGTCCATAACTTCAATTCAACATTCTTCCATAGCATCACAAAATGATGACCATCAGCTTAGCTTAGCATGGACGATGACACATTTTTCAGATATCTAATAAAATAAAAGGTTTAACAGAGCAAAGCGACATTCAAGATAAATAAGGCACCTCACGAAGATATCCAGCCATTATAACGTTGTACATGTTAACTGTTGGCGTCAAATTCATCTTTTCCAGGTCATTCATCACTTCATACGCTCCTTGAAACTGAACTTTTAGGTAAAATGAGAAACATAGAGGGTAAGAATGATTATATTGAAATATTGTAACTACACATAAAACACGATACATCAAAGAGAGAGACTTACGTCTTTCATCCTCACAAACAGAATAATCATCAACCTGCATGTCTCCTTGTTTGGCTTCAAATCATGGCGATATATCATTGTCTTGATTTGATGAACCTTGGGATCATTTTGAATTCATGTCAACATCATCCAATAACAAATGGCTTGATTAGGCACTTTAAATTCAATAATACAACTAACTGCATAAGACTCCCATGTCATTAAAAAATTCAGATAAAGAAATGGTAGTGTGTGGAGAAATTTAACAGTAACAAACAAGACAGCAGAAGTGCTAGATCTTGTTTATTAAAAATGAGGCATGCTTCAGGCTTTTAATAAATCCCGACTTAATCAACTCAATGCGATGTATTACAACACACACATACATATCTATATCTGAAAGAGTAGTCTCAACAATTACAACAGTTGAACCTTTTGGAAGCCAGTGCCCAGTAGCATTGATGTTTTAACTAATTCAAGATTCAGAGCAACACACTATATACAGGTATAGGTTCTGCCATATTTAAAAATGGCAACATCTACTCCATGTTTACCTATATTGACCTGACAGCCTCACTGCAAAAAATACTAGAGAATACAGTGTTCGGCAAATATGCCTCATTAGACTCTACTAAGAGGGTGAAGACTATAGTACTATAAATAGTAAAAGTAAAAAGATCATTATAAAAATAAAGCAATTACTTCAATCTACAAGCTAGTTCAACAATTCTGTAAATCAGAGTATTTTGCCTGAGAAACCTTTCCAAGCCGATTTTCTTCTCATAAACATTTTCCTTTTTCTCTAGAAAATAGCAATTAATAACAAATCAAGACCCAGACATGCAATTGTTATTATAAACACAGGCAACAGCACAATTCAGAATCCGATTACATTTTGCTCAAAAGACAAAATCATATTGTGTGAAACACCCCTTGATCCATTTTGAAGCTCTTCAATGATCAATGAAAATCATGCTGCATGATTACAAAGGAAAAATCCAACAATTTTAAATGAAGAGAAAGAAAGAAATTGGTATACCAGATTATAGTCACAGCTCTGCTCACAGGCTTCTAAGATGGAATGAAATGCATCCAATGATAAAGTCAAACCAGCTTCGAACATCTCGTCAACCATATTGAGTGCCTGGTGTACCTGAAGAATATATAGCATCGTATCCTACAATCAAGTTCATAATCATTTCAAAGGAAATCTAGTACTAGGCGAGATTGGGTTGGGCAATGCAGCCATGGGGGTGAGTTGGATGTCATTCAGCCCAAAAAATGGTGATATTTAGTTAAATATATCAACAAACAACAACAAACCAAGCTTCGTATCTAATAAAATTGGGTCACGTTTACTTAAAAACCTTCTAAAATACTGTCCATGCCTTGAGAAATTTAGACAAAAAATGTTAAATTTATTTAATTATATCACCAAACAACAAAAAACCAATCCTTGAATCCAATAAACTTGGGTCACATTTACTCAACTAACTTTCTAAAATAAATGTCCCATACCTTATGGAGTTCACAGGAATATCCAATGAGCCTCTCATATTGTGCAGAAGTAGGCAACACGTCCAACTTAGCATGTAAAGATTTGAACTTATCAATGATATCTTCAACCTTTCAGATGCAATGACAAGGCATAATTAGAAGAAACTGTTAATTAAAGAGGAAACATATTAGAGAAACCATGGGGCTTCATGACTATCATATAATGTGAAAAATTATGACCAACTCGAAATGTTAAATACCGATCAAGTTCGTAGGACAGTTCTGCATTTCCCCAATGAAAGATAATAAATTTGTTCAGAAACAAAAGCTATGGATGATGACGCTGCTAGAATCTCCGCCGATGTGTGGACTTTAGAGAATTATTAGCTAGATTTTATTGTAATTGATTTTTTCCTGGTAGAGTTTAGGAGGTAGGATATCCTAGGATATAATTCTTAGAGCATCTCCAAGAGACTCTATTTTTAAAGAGGATTTTGTTATTTAGAGAGCAACTATAAATTTAGAGAGAGGATTTTTAAATACTTCAACAACCTCTTTTATCTTTAACATTTAATTTTACTCCTCCCAATACGTATTTATTATTTTTCCATATATTTTATTTTCACCAACTTCCATCCAAATTATTATATTATTTCCCTCCATTATCTTTGCATATACTACTTAGTTGGGTCAATATATGGAGCATTAAAAATTGGAATATTTTGAATGCATTTAATTGTAGAAAGGGCTATTTTAAAATGTTAATTTGAAGAATCCCTTGAAATATATTTTTAAGGGTTACTCTTTAAAATAGAGAGTATTTCACTTTTAAAGAGCCTCCTGAAGATAGTTGTAACTTATTGTATATTGCTAACTATTAATTATTCGTATATAATGCATGTTTTAATAGGATGTACCCAATTCTCTCTAATAAATAAGAGGAACTATAGGTTATTCCATTTAATTCTTCTTCTCTATTTCTGCAAATAGAAGCAAAGGTGCTGAGGATGAGCACTCTTCCAAAGGTCAAAGACTTAAAAGTTCAAAATATTCATAAAACACCCATCATTAATGTTGTGGGTAATGTCATGAAGTATAGGCTACTATCCCTTCTACTTTCCAACAAATGTAAAAAAAGGCTCTTCGCAACTTACAATTCTATAAAGTAAAAACAAATCCGTCAACACGCATATAACAAAAACTTCAGAGGATTTAACAAATCTTCCAAGTTTACATCTTTCTTCAAAAGCAGAAAATAAAAGTTCTCAAACTTGTTGCCTATTTCATTATCTTGCCAGACAAAGACTCTTTGAGGTGTCAAAGAAATTTAAAACCACACTGATAATGATTCTTTAAATAGATGATCCTTGCCTTAGATACAAAAGAGAAAACAAGAAAAACAGAGAACGCTAGCAGGAATCAAGTTGTTCTCACAATTTTCAAGTACATGAATCTTGTAAATGTACTGCCATTGGGTTAATTGGATAGATGATCCTCGCCTTAGATCCACAAAAAAAAGGAAAAAAACAGAGAATGACTTGAAGGAACTAAGGGTTAATTCTCCAGGGAGGACTACAATTGGAAAGTTGTAGGACCTTCTCTGATTCTCTTGCCACAGTTGGACCAAACTGTTAAAATTCAATTTTGTTCATAGAGAGTTGGATTTTAATGTAAGGAAAAGAACCAAAATGGAATCGAATCCAGTCAATTCTTGTCTGTTAAGCCCAAATCAAGAGGTGAAGCCAACCAAAAACCTAATTTTTTTCTAAACCAATTCCTATTCAAATGGTTAGGTTTATGAGAGATTGCATTTTTATCCCAAGTACATTAACCAATCAATATTTGATATTATTCAAAAGAAAAACTAAAACACAATCCCGGGTCCAGGGTTTGTATTACATGGAAACATGGGAATCAGATCAAACAGGACAGATCTCCTTGTCTTCTAAATCAAAATCTAGGGTGTGTTTGTCTTCCATTATTGAGAGAAAAATAGAGTAATGAATAGTATTTTTTGGAGAATGTGTGGTTGAGATTTAAAGTAACTTTATTGGTTTGTGGGTAGAATATTTTATTGGGTGAATGTGTGGTGGAGAATCTTCCTGTAGCAAACAATTTTTTGGAATAATGGTAGACAAACATGGGCTTTATTTCATTTTGAACCAGACTGAAGCAGAAGATCAGGTGTGATCTAGTTTGTTGGGTTTTGTGAAATAATACTCTACCTCTTATTGTATTTCACAAAAGGCTTTGTTTCCTTGTCTTACACGTAGTATTCTAACTAGCTGAACGATTCTTAGGGAACAATTTCCATTATTCAATGGTTATGAGGACTAAGTATCGGTTCCATTTAAAAAGGGAAAAGGTCATGTTAACAACTTAAAGAACTGAATCTTTGTCTGGATCCTTTCTGCTTGCATTTGCAGCAAGCCATCCCAATGCCTAGAGCTATTTCTATCATCTGACAATTTCAGTCATGAATGTCCACAATGACCCTACTAATAATATGGGATTCAGTCATTCTGTATATTGGGGCCTTCTTTAATTGACTATTACGCTAAATATATCGAGCTTTTAACAAGATAGGGTATTTTTTGCTCCTGTAAGAGGTTAAATAACTGAAGTGCAATCGAAAAATATGAAAATCATATCTAAATTACGCAGTGGGGCTCTATGTCTTAATATCACTTAAGACATCACTGTTTGAAGTCCATTTCTCGTGACAGATGAATAATGCCAGAAATAGTTTTGAAAGCTAGGCATGATAAAACCAAGAGCATGTGGTAGTGTGAGCTACATATTTACAAAGTTGTTTCCCTGAAAGAGCAAACTCCTGTTAAGCAGGAGTGCTACAAAAAACTGACTAAAGAACATTACCAGTACTATTCACGAGAAGTTCCTCACCTCTAAATTTGGTATGCTGATTGCATATTCGCAGATGAATTTTGAGATGTTTTCAGGCCCGATATCTGAATTCAGACAAGAAACCATAGCATGTTTCAGTTAAAGAATTATACAGGGAGAGATTGAACTCATATAGGTCATTCAATGTCCTGAATACCTCAGATGGCCTGCTTACAGTGCAAAAGCATGATAAAATAAAAAGGAAAATGAATAGTTGACATAACAGGACAATGGATTTAATAAAAGGGATACGTTTAACTGCAATAATGTAAAAATGGTATAGATCCAATAAATTTTCTGAACTAAATCGTGATATATAAATTCTTCCGCGAAGAATTAGCAGTTATCTTTTCTGACTAATCTAAAAATCAGTAAGTAAACCCAATAAGTGATCTTTCTGTGTGAAAATTAATGACTTCATCAATTCGTTAATTGTGAAGTTACCTCATCAAAAATAGAAAATGGATTATATTCTTACCACTGCTTTTCAGTGTCCGCATGAAATCAACCACAATAGACTCCAACGAAATCTTCCCTAATGACTTGAAGATACTCACTTTACATTCGACTGATGTGAGTTTTGTTATGTCAAAAGCTTCCAATAGCATCAAAATATCTTCTTTGCGGTCACTTTCACACAACGCCAACAATAAATTTTCTGCAAATTTATTGTAACTGTGAGGTTATAAATAACATTATGCCTAAAAGACACTAGTAGCGAAACAAGCACGTGCTATTAAAATACATTGAACAGAATATCGGTTTATACCACATCATTTGTGAAGTCCAATTGCCAAATTCAAATGAAAGAATAAAAGAAAAAAAATATGATACTCCTTTGATCTCATAGGAGAAGTAAATAAAAATTAGAAACTTCTGTAAATTTCTGGAAATTAATACAAAAATGCCTGCAATTACAAATCCAAATGATAATATCATTGAACAAATAAAGTTATACAAGAATAAAATAATGCTTGGAGTAAAATTTAAGGAAATATACTTGCTAGGCATCTGATATATAAGATTGCCAAACCTCGTGAACAAAGACATCATCAGTATCAAACGGGAGGGAAACACAAATAATTAAACCAGCATTAGATACAACGCATACATTTTCAAGACAAAAAGAAATGTTAGTTTTTGTCGTACAGTGACAAAACCACGATGATATGGCAAAATCCTTACCATTCAGTGAGACTGGAAAGAACTACAGATTGCCCACCTGGTGGAAAGGAATTACATTTCTTCCAAAACAGAATAGTGTGAACAGTTAGGAAAAAGACACAATGTCTCCTCCCCATCAAGGGAAAAAAAAAGAAGCAAGAAAGGAATAAAAAGGAAAGCAATAGTAAATAACTCAAATGTGAAAAAAATAAAAATTAGAGATCATGTCACCACCAACAGCAAAAGCCATAACATGATCGGAGAGGTAAACTGACGAGATTGCTAAATATAAATATTGTGTCAAAAAGAGAGGGAAAAGGACGGAATTTAGACATAAAAATAATGCAACTCCAATAACAAACCTCGGAAGGAATATTTATCTTCTGCATTATCATCCATGACAGAACGGATAAGTTCTCGTATTTTTGCTTCATTGTTAACACCAATCCATAGCCGCATTTCATAATAAGCTAATCTCGGAAGCGAATCTGGATTTTCATCTTTAATGAGGTCGCGAAAGAAAAATAATTCCTGTACCATACCAAAATCAATCAAATACATCAAGAATTGGCCATATGTTGCTTCTTCAATTTTGAACCCCAGTTCCTTCATTGTTTTAAAAAGTTGGTATCCCTTATAAATCTTCTCTAATGAAACATCTTCATCATTGGCATCCCTTGCCTGTTGTATGCAATGCCCAATTAATGCATTATACTCTTTCAGGCCAGTTTCTCGTCCCAATCTGCCAAATACCTCGAGGGTAACATCTGTACCCAGCTTCACGGCACACATTTTGACCAGCCGATCAAAGCGACTGGTTTGTGTATTCTTATATACCCACTTCTGCTTCCTCTCCCGTGATACGTTTTTCCTCTGCAACGAAATATCATTATTTGACATCCTTGATAGCCATGGCAAGTTCAAAACCTTTCCCGAAGGTTGTACATCCTCAGATTCATCATCCCAATCCAGATCCAGTTTATCTGCAGTTAAAGACGAGTTAGGTTGGTCTCATAAGTTGATATATTATGAAGCATTCTGATTTGATAGTATTCAAAAAAAAAAAAGCATAAATCATATAATTTGTGAGAGAAAATTATATTGCCCTGCGAAATTGAGAATACAAGATCACATACAGAAGCAGACCAACTATTTCAATTTTCACATACATCTTCCAATTTCACCATTCAAAACATCGTAACAACACTATTGATAATACAAGATCACATACAGAAGCAGAACCACTATATCAATTTTCACATTTATAATCCCATTTCACCATTCAAAATCATCGTAACAACACTATCATTTTTAAATTCAAAACCATTTAAATTCTAAATGCGCATACCATGTAATGAAGCCGACACTTCACTCGATAACTGTTTTCCTGATTCATCTGCCATAAAACACGAAAACACAAGCAAATTAACCATATCTACAAGTGATAAAATTCCTTACAACAACTATTTTCCAGTTCCTTTATACTTCCAAAAAAAGGATAGGACGATAATTTCACTCGGTACCATCACCAGGTATGGAGCCCAGCTTCACGCTTTCGTGGACGACATCATAGAGAGAGGAATTGGCGGCGGAGAGGTACTGTTTTAAGGCGGTGTTTTCAGTAGTACTGGAGGAGGAAGGCTTCTTCTTCTTCTTCTTCTTATTCTTGGCGGCGGCGGCGGAAGCTCCTGCTCCTGATCCTTCGGCTTTGATTTCGGAACGAATGGAGTAGAATCTAGACAAGGAGCGGATGACAGTGGCTAGGTTTTTGGTCTTTGAGACGGGCATATGGGCATGTGCGAGTGAAAGTGGACGGAATGGGGGTGAGTTTGCACAGAG